GACTCCCATCTGAAGAGAGGAGTGGACTGAGTAAAGACCAAAAAGACACCACCGTTGTCGCCGCAGCACAAACCCTACTTCTTTATCAACTGACCCACTCGTCTGTAGCATTTAACCCTATCTCAGTTGGAAGTGTGGCCCTGGCCGCTGCCGAGGCTGACCTGTGGCACAACCAGCACCGAGGGAGAGCAGGGTGCAGCCACTGAGGAAAATGAGCATCACCAATTATCTCAAGCCAAGCGCTAATAGAAGGATTCCATCCCAAACACCATTACCTGTGTGTGCAGCCACCGACTGACAGTCGCCCCCCGGTCAGGGCGATAGTTTTAAATTGGCTCCCGGCCCTCTTCTCTTCCTGAGATTGAAAAGAGATTATTAAAGACATTCATCACAGAAGTGGCCTGAGCTTCTGTGGAAACGATAGGAAAAGGCAGGGAAATGGAAAAAAGCTCTGAAGAGAGATGAAAATGAGGGGATGTATCCGTGTGAATGTGACGCAGGGATGTGTCTCAGCGCCGCAGGCTCGGTTCTGCTGCTTGGTAGCAGACGGGCTTGTCCCCCGGGCATTGTGATTGTGTTGGCTGGACTGTAGCAGCAGCAGCCGGGGTGTGGGTCCAGGGCCTGGAAAGAAATGCACGCACGTTAGAGGCCACCCAGTCACGGCTTAGACCCGACATACATCGGATAGAGCACTAATGATATCCCCGGAGACCGACGCAGTCTGGCTGCTGCATGACAAGATGTACTGTACACCGTGTTATCCTTGTCTGATCCAGGCTTATTTCTCTGGGGCAAGTTGATGGTCGGCTCTGTGGTCTTATACTCAAACATCAATTTAAATTGTAGCGGTCCCCAGTATAAAAAGTACTCTGCTTCCTGCAGTGTAGAAGGAAACTTCCAACCATTAAAATGTTTACTTGTGTGCTTTGTGCAAACAATAATGTTTTTCCGCCGGGCGTGCAGATCTGTCTGATCTGATTAATCTGGATTAACACCTTAATTTAAACAGCCCTAAAAAAAAGAAGATTGCGTTCATGAAGCATGTACAGCACAGAGAGAGCTGTGTGACGTCCCCACGGTGTGTTCTAGATGATGTAGAGCTAGGACTGAGCTCAGGTTTATTACACGCAGTTGTTTGTAACCCATGAATTGTGGTTCCATGTTAAGGAGACTCCGGAGGCTCCGCACCAACCTGTCATTTCCCAGACACTCACACTTTTAGCAGCGCTGATCTCTTTCACTCTTGCCGTGCAACGAAAAAAACCCAGAGGTGTTATCGATGCACTTACATAAGCAGGCTGAATATTGATGAGTCTTTGAGCTACAGTGTGCCCATATGAATGCACTCCTCGGTGTGTGGACGCCGTCTTCATACATAGTACAGATTTCATGCAAAGCAGTGGGCGTTTGGATTAGGAAGTACAGAATGTGAAAACTGTGTGGAGTGTAGGTTTGTTTTCACCGAGAGCAGACGACACGTAAACATATCACTCAATTAGTCCGAGTGGTTTGTGCTGAGAAGGTCAGTTAAAATCATCAGTAGCCGATAGATCTGTCACCTGACGGCAGACGGTTAAAGGTCAGGCAGAAATGTTGCTGAAATGATTTTCCAGAAAGGCTGCAGGAAATATTTCAACTGATGCTTTTGAGAATTGACACTACGAGCTGATCAGGAGCCCCCATTGATGTTTAACAGTGAGCCCCTAGTGGACAAAATGTACTATTTACACGTACTTGTACATTTTATTTTCACTAGAGCTGTCAAAATAAAAACATGAATCACATCAGTTAATTCATGAAATTAAAGCGATAAAAACATTTTAACGAATAATCCATAATTCCTTACTTACTGGTGCTCCAATACCCAGTCGAGTGAGATGTGATTTTTTTTTTTTTCAATTTTTTCACAAATTGGGGGCTAAAAGCTAACAGAGACAATGGACAAATGGATCATGAATCTTTATTATTCGTGATTAATCACGTAGTGAATAAATCAGACCAATTTTTTTCTCCACAAATAAAATAGAGAAAATATAACTTATACTACACACTGCCTTTTTTGTCGAATGGTGTAATAAATCACAATGATCACATGCTGAATGTTATGGAAACACGACGACTTCTCTGCATCGCTGCTGAAACGTTGCTTTAAAGAAATGGTTTGACATTTGGGGGAAAAGGTTAAACTGCCCTTTTGAATTAAATATGTAGCTGAAACTGGGAGACATTTGAGGTGACGTGTGTGAAATTTCAAAAATCCGTGCCCATTAGAGTAAGTTAAATGTCAAAAAGACATCTTTCTGTCTTGAAACTGTCACTGGTGCCAACGCTACAGACGTAGCTCTGTGAGTCCCCGACTTTGGTTTCACAACAGGATAGTGAGCGCACTTCTCAGTGAATTCACATATTTATATGAAAAGTTTATTGCCTCAACTGTTGCCTTATTATTTTATTTTTTTTATTTTGTGAAACAGACAACAGGAAGTCATTTTGTACTTTGGAGAAAACAGATGCTGTAACAACTCCTGGGTTGACTCTTGCTGATTTGAGGCTTTTACAACGTCAGGTTATTTTTAATCCTGGAACTAAAATAGTAAAGGAGACCACAAACCCTCAGAGGAACATTAACAAATGTAATAAATCATACTGTTCACTCCAGTGACTCTGACCTACTTCTTCTTCACCCGTGGCTACAGGTAGCTACTGTACGTCCATCTTTAGACATCTCTTTGACTGACATGCTGTTTTTGACCAGGATGTAAACAAGGGAATGTTGTTGTTTTTATTTTATAGCAAACATCCAACACAGCCTGAAGTTTTTCCATTAAAGTTGCTCTTTCGTTCATTAGAGTTATTGATGGGATTACCGTGGTGCATTAGTGGACAAGCCCATCCATTAGTAGGCAGCCATGAACTCTGCAGGATCAATTCCCCTCCACGGCCACTGACCTGGAAAAAGTTAAAAGGCGTCCGTGCCGGCTCTCGTATCAATAGATGATCTAATTACAGAAAAAGCTCCTCAACGTGAGCTCTGTTTCACCAGAAAAGGTTTAATGAAAATCCACCCTCATTAAACGTCAAACCAACGCTCCTGCAGATTAAAAAAATGCATTTTAATCTTTGCAACCAAATATCTGTGACTA